ACTTGTATTGTCCTTTAAGATTTTGTTGTGGTTAAGATGAAAACTTACCTTTCTCCCTAAAACTGAGAGTAGATGTGAATTTTGCAAGATTATCTTTAAAATTTGTTATGCTTTAAAAAAGTTGAGTTTGTCTCTTGCTTTTCAATGTTGCATATAAAGTTTCCTTAAAATTTCTTCTAGGAGGTGGAGCATAAGGAGGTGCATATCCATTAGAATTTTGAAAATTATGATGAGCTTGAAATGATGGTTGTGAAGTTTGTGCATCACTCTTCCAACTAAAATTCAGGTGATATCTTTAACCAGAATTGTATGTTTGCGAGTATGGATTATGATTGAGCCTTTGAAAACTGTTTAAAGCATATGCTTGTTCATGGAGGCATTTCTTAAAAGAAAACAAAGTTGGACAGTCATTGGTTGAGTGTTTATTGATTTAACAAATTTGACACACAATGTCTTGAACATTAATTGACCACCTTTTTTTTTTAATTTGAGTACCTCGACTTTTCTAGCTAAAGATGCAAATTTGTCTTAGAGATCATAATCTTTCCTAAGGTTGTACATTCCTCCACTAGATGTATGAGGTTGAGTTTTACCCAGAGATCATAATCTTTCTTAAGGTTGTACATTCCTCCACTAGATGTATGAGGTTGAGTTTTACCTGGTGTCTTATAAAGACCTATAATGTCCTAATTTTGAGTATTTCCAGCTAGCAAGTATAGGTACCCTATTGCTTCATTGGGGTCTTTATCTTCAAAAGTTTCATTACACATCAATTCCACCATTTGTCTATTTTTAAGTATTAATCCTTCATAAAAATATGAAACCAATCTCCATGTTTCAAAACCATGATGAGGATATGTATTAAACAAGTCTTTATACCTATTTCAACATTGATAAAATTTTCTCATGTTTTTTAAGTGAATGTGATGATTTATCTTTTGAAAGAGTTTGTTTTGTAAGATGGAAAAAACTTTTTTAAAAACTATTGTTATATTTCATCCCAAGCACGAATGGATCCTGACCTAAAATTTTGTAGTCATGTTTTAGCTTTATCTTCTAATTAAAAAGAAAAAAGCTTTAATCTGATGGTATTCGTGCTACAATTTAAGTCATTATAAATGTTACAAAATTCTTCAAATTCTATTTGCAAGTAGAGATTTTCTAAATCTAAACCATGAAAAAAGGTAAAAGTTGAATAATGTTTGGCTTAAAATTAAAGTGAGATGCATTAGGAGGGAAACTATACATGAAGATGCACTTGTTCTTGTAGGATTCATATAATCTCTAAGTATTTTAACTCGATTATTCTTATTATTTTTATTATGAAGCGACTAGTTATCTTCTTTGACCATTTTGTTTTTTGAAAATAATAAGGATTTCTAACTTCTTCGTTGTTGCTATAATTTGAACTTGAAAATGATATTTTTAAATCATGGACTTTTATGAAAGTTTTAGGCCTATGTTTTAGTTTTTCATCCACATAGAGCATACTTAAATTCAAGTTTTATAGCTCTAGTTATGATCCAATAACTGAATGGTATTCCAGTTTGGACTAAAACAATATCTCTTTTCTAAGCTTAACCCTCTCTTTGATTTCTCAATTTTAGTAGTTAAATTCATAAATTAATCCCTTAATTTATGTGATAGGCCTGCATTTAAGATGAATATTTACCATAAATTAAAGGTATCTTATATTATTAGATATGTTATTATAAAACATGCTCTAGTTAAGAAGTTATTAATACTTTAAGTGCAAAATAATGATATAAAACATTGATAAAAATACATTTTTAGATACTAATAAAAAAAATTATTTTATTATTTTATTAAAAAAAAACTAGAAGAGTTAGGATTTTTTTTCTATTTCTTTTATTGCATGCCCATATCCAATGAAATTGTGGATCCATATAGTAACATTTTTTTTGCTTTTTTTTTTCAATCATGAAGTTTTTGTTATTTTTTTAAATTCAACAATGGACTTGATAGTCTGTTTCGATGAATTTGATTTTGGGTTCTCAAGATGTCAAAAAAATCTTGACATTTGATAAACGCTTAATTTTGTAGAAAATTATTTAGAATTTTTTGTTTTTCAAAAGATCAAAATTATAGGACTAGAATTGAACAAAAAAAATGAAAACCACCTTAGATATTTTTATCCCTAAAGGGAAAAAATAAAGAAATCAAGCGCGAAAAATAAAAAGACAAGAGAGGAAAAAGATATTGAAAGAAAGAAAATATAATTGGGTTACTAGAGCCACACCAAAGATAAAACATCAACACACATCACCGCAGAAGAAAGCTCTTGCAAAGACGATTCCAATAATATCAATGACAACCTCCATCACAGCTAAGAGGAAGTTATTTGTGGCCTCCCAATACAACAACCTTCCTCACACATTAGCACATGTATTAAACACGCCATAAATTTTTCTCTCTCTTCATTCAATTCAACCCTTCATTCTCTAATAAAATGCTCATCTTTCTTTTCTCTAAAAAAAAAACTCTATAACTTCTCTTTACTGTCTTTCATTTCTTTAACAAACTTAGCTCTTACAATCAGCTCAAACATTAACCCCTCCTCACTTAATTTCCAGACATTAGATCATATGAAACGATATATTTTGTTGCACAAATCTACATAGCTGATAGTAAGAAGTATGAGCAATGATTCAATGACTGTAAAAGTTTTGCCATTATTTTTATCAATGAAAAAAATAGGGACAAGGATAAATCAGTTTGGGAATTCTCCCATACATGTATGATTTTAAACTAATAGGTCATTCATAAAAGCTTGATGTCATTGGCAAAGTCATGGTAATTAAGTAATAAGCTAAAGGATGCAGGTAATTAACTCTTCACCCACACCTAGTGCATTGTAGTAATTCACAGTACATTCATCTTTCTTTTTTTTTTATTTTATTTTTTTGTTTTTTATACATTCATCTTTCTTTGTTTTTTATTTTATTTTTTTGTTTTTTTCATTTTTTCCAACTTTCCTCCTTTTGTTTTCCCTAAAATTACTTCCCTTTTTTTTCCAACTTTTCCTCTTTTTTTGTATATTTTTTTTAAAATTATCTTTGTCGATTTTATTTTTTTAATATTGAGTTGGTTAAAAATTTCATTTTGTAATTTTTTTCCTTTAAAATAATATGGATTGCTATGGTATTTTTCCACATGGTTTTTCTATTTTATTTTTTATTTTTAAAAATTATTTTCTTATTTTATTTTTTTAATATTGAGCTAATTAAGAATTTAGTTTTGTAATTTTTTTTTAAATATTGTTGATTGCTAGAGTGTTTCTCTGCATAGTTTTTTTTTTGTTTTTGTTTTTTGATGATTTTCTCCAAAATTATCTTTTTTTATTTTATTTTTTAATATTGAGCTGGTTAAAAATTACAGTTATAATATGTGAGAAAAACACTGTAACTTTCTTTACAAATTATTATGAATTGCTATAGTGTTTTTTCCCATATGATTTTTTTTTCTAGTTTCTTTTGTGTTTTTTTGTAATATTTTTTTTTAAATTATCTTTATCAATTTTATTTTTTAAAATATTAAGTTGATTATAATTTAACTTTGTAATAAAGCTTAATAATGTGGGGAAAGCATTGTAGCTTTCCTCACAAAATATTGTGGATTGCTAGAGTATCTCGTTACATGGTTTTTTTTCTTATTATATTTTCAAAATTATCTTTTTTAATTTTTTTTTTTAATATTGAGCTAGTTGAGAATTACAATTACAAGTCATTACAAATAAGGCTAAATTATATAGGGAAGCATTGTAGCTTTTATCACAAAATACCATGAATTGCTACAATGTTTCCAACATAGTTTTTTTTTCTATTTTAGTTTTTTGTATTTTTTTGTTATTTTTTTTCTAAATTATCTTTGTTGATTTTATTTTTTTAATATTGAGCTTATTGAGAATTTAGCTTTGTAATTTTTTTCTTTAAAACACTGTGAATTGTTGTAGTGTTTTCCTATATGATTTTTGCCAAAATTATCTTTGCCATTTTTTTTAAAATATTAAGTTGGTTAAGAATTATAATGACAATAAAATTAAATCATATGGAAAAAACGTTCTAACTTTTCTTACAAAATACTGTGAATTGCTACAATATTTTTCTAAATAGTTTTTTTTGTGATTTTTTCTAAAATTATTTTTGTTAATTTTATTGAAGAAAACACTGTAGTTTTTCTCACAAAATATTTTCGATTGCTACAACATTTTTTCTTATAGGTTTTTTCCCTTCAGAATTATCTTTTGGTTTTTTTTAATATTAAATTAGTAGAGATTTTAACTTTATAATTTTTTTTGTTTTTTATTAACAGAAAAACTAAATCATGTGGTAAAAATAATTATCTTTTCTTATAAAACAAATTATTTTATTTAGTTTCTAAATTTTTAATCACCAATACAATTTTTTTCCATCATAAACAAATTATTATATTTTTAGTATTACTTATTTAACACTGTCCATCATAAACTATTAACTCTATTATATTTTTAGTATTACTTATTTAACACTGATTTATAATTATAACACTATCAAATAAAAACATTTATGTTATAAGCACATTAGCATGCCATCTCCTCGCAACATAAAACACGTTTTGAAGATAAAAGAAATAAACAATCAATCTTAAGGAGTGAGAAAAGCAGTTCAATATAAAAAGAAGGGATGGGGAAGCTCAGATTTTAATCCTACATGAGAAACTTTTCTCAATTATAGTGTCAGGCAACGCATAAACTTGGTCGGATTGCTAAATGCAAGCGAAAAAAATCCTTTTTCCATTTTCTTAAAAAAGCTCATATATTATACATGTAAATAAAAGAAATTTGTTTGAGCCTCAACAACGATAAATTACATAAGCTCAGATACAAGAGACCAATCCCGTACATGACCTCAAATTGATTTGAGCCCCAACAAAATTTTGGGAGACCACTCATCCAGCCAAGAAATGATCACAAAAAACCATCTAGGTGGTGGCCAAGTGGTGCAAGAAATGATCACAAAAACCAACACCTGCGTCAAGCATAATGTTCAAATATTGTACTCGTTGAGACTTTGCAATATCTAATTCAAATATTGCTCCATTCAAGGACAACTAGAAGAATTGCTGGAGCCAATGGCAATTTACTGCATCTTTCTCCAAGTCATCTTTCAGTTTGCCTATCTGTAGCAGAGCCTCCTTCAAGTCCATTTTGTATAATGGCAAATCAGAGAAGTCCTTCAGAAACCGGTGAGCCCGAGCTGCACCTTTTGACATATCATCTGTATTGCACTCTCTCTTTCGTTTGGATCCGACCTACAAATCATAAATGAATAAGTTAATATTCCAACCTAATAGAATGCTTTGCGATATTATGCTATCATTTTACCAAGTTCAGTTCACGTGAAAACTTTGCTATCAGAAACAGAAAAATGTTTCGAGAATGCTCTACGTCACGCATAATGTTCAAATATTGTACTCGTTGAGACTTTGCAATATCTAATTCAAATATTGCTCCATTCAAGGACAACTAGAAGAATTGCTGGAGCCAATGGCAATTTACTGCATCTTTCTCCAAGTCATCTTTCAGTTTGCCTATCTGTAGCAGAGCCTCCTTCAAGTCCATTTTGTATAATGGCAAATCAGAGAAGTCCTTCAGAAACCGGTGAGCCCGAGCTGCACCTTTTGACATATCATCTGTATTGCACTCTCTCTTTCGTTTGGATCCGACCTACAAATCATAAATGAATAAGTTAATATTCCAACCTAATAGAATGCTTTGCGATATTATGCTATCATTTTACCAAGTTCAGTTCACGTGAAAACTTTGCTATCAGAAACAGAAAAATGTTTCGAGAATGCTCTACAGCATGAAAGTTTTGGGACTGCCAAAGAGTGACATGATGTTCTCCTCAAGACTGGCTCAAACACTGGAGATTACTGACAGGGAATCTGTACTCCATAGTGCTATCTTAGTCAATCAACTTGAATTCGAAGTTGTTTTTCACACTACAGTAGTGGCGCATCAAGCCACAGGTCTTGTTACTCTAGCATGTAAACTCTGGATAGCTTGCTAGTAAGAAGGAGAAGTCAAACCAGAGTGGCACATCCCTTCAAATGTTGACACTAACTGAAACGTCAAGGCTTGTATAACAGTGGCCTACATACCACTGTATCAATCTAAGGCTTATCAACAGAAATGATCAGAAAGTTCACATAACTAGAAGGCTATACAGATGGCATGGAGCCAATGCTGAGCTGGAAGCTTTTAGATTCATTAAAGACAAACCTTTTCTCTAGCATCATCTGAAATGATTGCAGTAGGTGAGAAATCTTCCAATTCAGCTGCCTTTTCTCGGGCAAGGGCGACAACACTTTCAGGAAAGTTTGCAAATTCTGCAACATGAATACCAAAACTTTGATCACAAGCCCCTGGCTCAACCTGGAATTCAAGGTTGTAAGAAGGTCATTAGAGTAAGCATTTTAAACTTATTTTTGCTAACCCAGTCACTCAAAAGCAGAAGAATCGCATCTAGTCAGAAACTAATCCTAAAATTGCTAGTCCAACAATTGATATATGCCCCACTATTAAGAATAATGATTGAAGACTGTTGTTTCTGTGTCAAATAGAACTCATATCATAATAGAAAATACAAAACCCAAAAAATTAAAATAAAATAAAAATTGAAGTTCCTCATTTTCTTACCTTTTTCTCCACTTGTTTTTTCATTATGTAAGCAAAGCTTGCTAAACGACAAAGAGAGAAATTGAAAGGAGCGAGACAAAGGAAAAATCTAAAACCCTCTCCTTCAAATGTCTTTTCTACTTCACGTCATTTATAGTCCTATTACTCTTACACTAATCCAATCAGTTAATTACAAAGATCAAAGGTAAGGCAGAAACAACAGCTACATAATTATGATACAAGCTAGTCTTTGAAAAAATAAAAAACAAAAGGCATGCAATCAAGCACCTGTAATTCTAGGTGCTTAGGCCATGCCTCGATGCATTTACCTTGTACAGCATGGTCAACTTGTGATTTGATGTGTCGATGTGTGCACTGACATGATAGTTTGCAACACCAACAATTTGCTTCGCATGTGGCTCCTGGTCAGCTTTTTGATGAGCTAATGCAGTCAGTTCGTGAAAGTGGGTTGCAAATAAAGTAGGTGCTTTTAACTCTCGAACCAGGTGTTCACATATGGCCCATGCCAAGCCTGGGAAACAGAACAAAACATGATAAACAAAATTATGTTTATCTATGAGGTTTAACCAAACCAAACAATAAATTCCAATATGGATCAAACAATAAAGCTACTTCATCACTTCCAACCAAAGGTGAAAAGAGGCTCTAAGCAATGTTTAAAAGAAGAAAACTCCACAGTCAAAACTACAAATAAATGATGAAAAGTAGCTTCCCCGAACTCATCAATAAAAAGGAGAGCAGACACGGTTAATTTTCAGAAACTCTCAAACCCCAAAGAAGTCTAATTGGATGCTTGTAACTTCAATAGGTGTAAGGAGAGCAGACATAGTTCATGCTTTTCAAATAAGAGGAATGAAAAGGGGAAAAAAAGAGAGAATTTCAAAACATCCATTTAACAGTTTTAAAAAACTTTAACGGAAACTTTTTTAGGTTAGATGATTTAGAGAGCTTCAACAACTTCAAATAAAAAACCCATAAAAACCAACTCTCCCAAGGCTCTGGAAATTGTTGAAACCTACCAAATCCATCATAAGTTGATGTCCCGCGGCCTAACTCGTCAATGATTATCAATGACCTATCTGTAGCTCCTTTAAGGATTGAAGCAGTTTCAAGCATTTCTTGCATAAAAGTAGAAACTCCACGCATCTACAAGAAAGGAAACAGATGCATAAACTTCAATAGCAAGGAAACATGTAATATCCATCCTTTCATCGTAAGCAAGTAATATAATCTACTTTACAGAAACAAAACAGTCAAACAGTCGAGTAGTGAATGTGATACACAAGACACAGCACCATACAGAAGTGAGATCCAATTAGAGCTAATTACAGGGGACACCAAGTAATCACTAAATTATGTTGTTCAGTTTCAAACTCTCTGTACACATTTTACAGGTAAAAAAAAGAAAAGCAAAAAGCACAAAAACTACTCAGGTAAATTTTACAGGCATAAATCAAATTGGTCCATGCTTATCATATGGTTAGACTACCTTAAGTGCACTAGTAAACGTTTCCTGATACTATCAGCATATGACAACAGAATGACTTTTTTTTTTCCTGGAATTAAGTCGTTATCAACTACATCTATTATCTGACAGGCATTTTGTAGCATGTTTTGATTAGGTCCAAAGATTTTATATATCTTGAAGTCTATGCTGCTAAAATAATCCAATATCTAATGGTATTACTTTACATGTTAAAATTAATGACTAATGCCAGAAAAAAAGATCTAAAGAGTAGAGGGTTTAGCTCAAGTTTTTCAACTAGTCTAGGATGAATATAGATTTAGATGGATGAGGTGATGAGAATCAAATTAGTAACTTAATAAAAATATTGAACCAAGACAGTTTTATACCAAACAGATTTCAAATTGAATTTTTTGCTGTCGATGCATTAATAGACTGCTATTTGAGATTGAAATCTTATTTTTTACATCCTCAGAAGCACAAAAGGAAAGCAGATCTATTTGCTTTGTACCTTAGCATTTGGATGTAAATGGTATCAACAATTCAGGTATTTATTTCTTTCTGCTCTTCCTGTAATGCACTCTAATTTATTTCTACAAGTAGTTAAAAATCAATGCAACACATACATCATGCTACAGGTGATGTTTCCAATTGTATCTCGTTATGAAACATTTCTCTATCAAAACACACAAACATATTACATTTTAAAATAGCAGAGCAGGGTAAAGCAGCTAGATTTAATCTTGTGCATTGATACAACATAACATAGGTTCACAGCTACATCCTGCAAAGGTGACCTTTCCTAAGGCAAATAATAGGATGAGTACATAAGCATTTCAACAGCAGACATGAAGCGTGTAGGAACTTTGAAATTGGTGATTATTGAGCATAGAACTTTACAATCCTGGAGTAAAAATCAAGATAATAAATATTCAGAAAAGAGCAAAAGGGGATTAGAAAGGAAAAGCAGATAACTTCCAAATTCGTTGCATCCATGACATTCATTTTCAAGAGTTTGAACCTTTTATTCATTTTCAAGAGTTTGAACTTTAAAAGGCTATTTCACTGACTCACTTGACAATCACCAGCACCCACACGTGCAAAAATGCAATCACGTACAGAAATGGTAGCCTTGTCACAGGGAATGAAAGAACCAACTTGGGCCATGAGAATATTCACACCTATCTGCAAATGAAACCAAAATATACAGATATAGCAATCCTGGAAAATTGTCGATTAACTTGATAGATTGAAGATATTGTGAAACAAGAAATTGAGAGGGACTTCAGTGTCTCCCATTGATGAACATCAACTCAATTTGTGTTGAGTCAAATGCATTGACAGACTGAAATATCAATAAGATCTAAAAATTCTAGAGGTGAGAGTGATATAATGAAAGACAAAATAAGTAACGAATAGAGGCATCAAACCGAATCATAAAAACATCCATACTTGCCGAATAAATGTGGATTTCCCACCCATATTAGGCCCTGTGATTATTTGGAACCAACTCTTTCCCCTGACCTGATTCATGGAAAGATAACAAAGAAACATTAATGGGGCACTTGGATATTAGAAGTCCAGAAGGAGCATGCTTTCCTTCATCAATTGAATACTCACAAGTTTACAATCATTTGGAATAAAATTCACCCAATCCTGAGCTTCCACACATGGATGTCTACTCCCTTCTAATATAATATCTCCCACATCCTATAACAGCAAAGAGGGTAAATATCATACCATAAAGCTTTTCCAAAACAAGAAGATAGATTAAAGGAAGGAAGTGAATGAAGCAAATAATTACAGATGGAGTGATGTCAGGCCTTGTGTATGGAGTAGGACAACTAGAAGCCAAATCAGCAAAACTAAGTAAGACATCCATTTCAGAAAGCAAACCAGATAATTTCTCAAACACCTGCAGCATAGCACTTGCATTAATCAAGAATAAGAGCTCTGTCAAAGTCAGTACATGATAAGGATGAATACCTCAGAGAAAGTTGCTGTAATTTGAACCACTCGATTGACAAGCTCCTTTTGATGACTCTTATAGTTCTCAACTATCTTTTGGTGCTGGTCACCTAATTTTTTAAGTTTCGTGTTTGTGAATTTTACCCCATCCTTACGAGTTTCAAGGACAATAAACTGGGTGGTCAGCTTTTTTCGTATTTTTGGCTCTTCCTTCTTTGTAATTCGGAAAACATGACCGTATTGCGTTCCCTTATCCAACTTCAATCCCTTATCTAGAGGAAGGTCAAGATCGGAAGCAGTTTGTTTATGCAAATTGTGTATCTGGTGCTCCAATGACTCCTGCTCAGCTTTTAGTGCACCTAAGGCAGCTTCATAACTAGGTGAAATCATGTATTCCCCATTGTCAAGTTGATCTAGGTCAACAGCAGTTTCCACAAGAGCAATGAACTTATTCAAGTGGTTATCATCAGTCCACACCTCAAGGGACTCCAAATACTTTTTCTTGATAAGGGATGAAAATTGGCCATCATATCGTTCCAGAGCACCTTTAATGTATGGCAGTCTTATGATGGACTGCATCCCAAAAATGTATCAAGTTAAAAAGAAAAACAGAGGCACATTAACTGAGAGATTAAAATACAATTATTGTATAAAAATAGCGTAGAACACAGTGCATGTGATAATTAGTTAAAAACAAGCAACATGAATAATTATTTAAAGGATAGTATGCATGGACACCACTACATAGCATAAGAAGAAAAGAGCAAAAAAAGCCGAGAAAGAAAGAAAACAAACAAAAAGTACAACTGCAGATGACACCAGCAAGTTCTTTTCTGAAGATTGATCAGCATTTCAGTTCCATAACAGGTTGCAACTCCACTCTACAAGTTCCATGTAACACTAGGCCACCTTCGATACAACTTCTCCATAGCATCAAGGGAAAGAGAGTGCCAAAAAAGGAAGAATACAAACACTAGCGAGCTTTTCAGCTGAAAACAACCTACACTTTCCATACCAGGAGCTACTCTACTCTAAAAGTACCATATAATTCTCCTCAACCAAAGATGGAGAGTGAGAATAAGCAGAAACAGGCATGAAATATTAACCAGCTTGGTAGAAAATGGAGAAGAGTCAGCGTTTTAGCTAATTGTCTAGACAAATAATCACTAACCTGGCCATCCTATATCAAGCACATGCATTAAGGAATGAGTACAGGAAACAGAAAATTGAATTTCACCTGATAAAGTTTCACAATATGGTGCAAGCCAGCTCTTCCTTTCTCAACAATGTGAATCAGTCGTTCAATATCTGAGATTCTTTTCAGATGCTGTCTTAGATCTTGGCGAAGCCCAGTATCGTCCACAAATGCCTGCACCAAATCTAGCCTGGAGTTGATTGCATCTACTTCCAATAAAGGCTGTTTTAGCCACATATGAAGCAATCTTTTTCCCATTCCAGCTGTACAAGTTCTATTCATGAGACCAAATAAACTAAAATTTTTGTTTGCATCAGTTTTGCTTTCAAGGACATTCAGTGCCCTCATGGCAGCAGAATCAAGTCTCATGTAGCTGTCAAGATTGTACTTTCTAATTCTATAATTGCCATAATTGCTCTCGTCTGCAAGTAATTCTGCATAGGACAATACTGCTCCCAAAGCACCAGGTGCAAATTCAAAACCAGAAACTAAATCTCGGACTGGTTCAAGGGGGCCTTTGACAAGCCTACCGAGATCCTGCACCAAATCTCTTGTTTTGAATTCATTTTTCTTTCTCTCAGTTAACATCACACCGCATTTGGTCAAAACATCATGCAGAGTTCTACAGTCATTGGACTTGCCACTCTCCATGGGCAAAAGGCATTCCTTGCAACTGAGGGCAACTAAAGCTGACTCCACATTTGTAAAGTGGCTATCATCTAGAAATTCAGCCAGCCCAAGAACTCTTTTTGTTAAGTCAACATAACTCAACCCAACAGTGCACCCTTTTTCACGGAAGTTTAACAAGAGTGCAACAACCACAGGAGAATCCTGCATGTCATTGTTTGCAAACAATACATCTTCAAAACTGCCAAGATTTCCAGGAGTCCCGCTTTTCACTAGTTTCCAATTGGATCCACTCCCTTCATAAAGCTCAAGAGTATGGTCTGTTCTCTCCAAAAGAAGATCCCGAGCAATTGTTTCAAACATGTTCTTACTAATGCTCGCACTAGAAAGACCACTAGATCCACTCCCCAACTGGCGCAAAGCAGTCGTAGTGTGGTAGTATGTCTTTGCAATGAAGTTTGCATTTTCGGCATGAACTGTATAATAGTCCTGCATATTTAAACAATATTAATAAAAAATTTGACAATTGTTAAGACAAACAAAGAAACCAAAATGAAATACTTATAAATTCTACTTATGAAGAACAATAGCTGGTAATTTGTGAGATCATAGTCATCACAATAACCAAAAAAAAAACATGCATGTTATAAGAAAAGGTAGCTTTTGCAGAAAACCTTATAATTCTGGCTTGCATTTTAATAATCTATACTTGTGTGCATCTGAGCTAGTTTGAAATAGCATCCTTAATTAGGAAACAAACTTCTTCGTAGATGCCAACAGTGGTTGACATCAATATCATTTCTAACACAGGCATATCATTTTCCTGTTGAATGACTTGTTATTGAAATATTGATGGCAAAACAAAATTGAATAGGTAATAGAATGCAAGAAACAACAAAGATAAAGTTCCCTACAAAAGCAGTATCGTCATTGCATTGTAAGAATACTGAATACCTCAAACGGAAACAGTATTCATTGACCCCTTAAAGGATTCCCTAAATCATACTACTAATTCCGTACTAAAACAGTAAAGTTTCACAATTCAAGATGAAAATCCAACACTTAATGCCAAATGGAGATGAACTCATTCCATATCAGATCAAGATAGAAATAATTCAGAGGTTCAATAAGAGGCCAAACGTGAACTGACCCGCCTATCAAAGACCCGAACCGCCCTAGGGTCCTGCAACATCAAACGCAACAACGAAACACGCCCAAATAAAATAAGTAATTCATAAATAAATTCAAAACACTAAAAAAAAACTATAAATAAATAACCCAGAACTGAAAATTATTTTCTTTAAGAAATGCTTAATTTTCCAAGTAATTAAGAGATTAATTAGGACTTACATGGGGTAGGGTTTTGAAGAAAGAGAGAAACCCTTGAGCCTGCTTAGCATCTGATACAACGATTTCAAGAAATCAAATCATTTCTCAACCCCGAAAAAAAAAAAAACAAAACGAAATCATTGATTATTTTACCTAGCTTGAGCTCAGGGAGCTTGTTCTGTTCTTCAAAATTGTTATTTTCACCCATTTGATTATAAAAAAATTAGGGTTTCGTCGTTGGGGTTTATAAAAGCTCAAGAACCTGAAGTGTGGTCTTATATAATCTGGTGTTGTAATGGCGGGAGAGGAAGGGGCAAACTGGCGGGCTTTTGTGGGCGCGTGTAAATCACGCTCGGAATTGGCTCTAATTTTGTTTCGTCTTCCAAACATTAATTAACAAGAACCTTAAAAGCGATTTTAGATTAGATTGAAACAATGTTTTTTTAAAAACAAATTGATTTTAAAAAAAATTATCTTTACACATTACATTGACTAAGTATTAGATTTTGATAGTTTGTTTAAGTTTATATTAATAAACAAAAGTTTTATTTTTACAAAAAACTGAGAATAAGAAGATCAGAATCGACAATGAGGCAAAAATTATGGTTTTCCCTTTGGTTTCTATTTTTACGGTGTTTGTCTTTGTTTTTTTTTTTTGGGTTATATAATTTTTTTATTGTTCTTATTATTGAAAAAAATTCAATTTTATATTTGCAAGTTGTGTTGATGGGAAACTTGATAATTTATCCTAATTTGTTTTGTAAAATCATTACAGTGTCAAAAAAAATCATGATTTTGAATTAATATTTAATTTTAAAAAATTATATTTGATTGTTTTTTAAAAATTGAAAATAAAAAGATTAAATTCATAATAAAAAAAAACAGATGATAAGCTTTTTTTTATTTTATTTTTTGTCCTTTTAATACAAGCCTTTTCTTATACAAACAAATGATAAAAATTTTTTTTTTCATAAAAATAGAGTTTTTCATAACTTGAACTAAGTTTTTTTTTATTAAAATAGTTAAACGGTAATTTAGTATAAGTATTAGAATAAGTATTAGAGTGTGTTTGGCAATACGGTAATAATTAAATTTTTTTAATTTTTTTAAAATATATCAAAATAATTTTTTTTATTTTAAAAAAATTATTTTTAATATTTATATATTTAAATGATATAAAAATATAAAAAATATTAATTTAAAATAAAAAATAAAATTTTTTAATTTTTTTTAAAATACTTTCAAAATACAATATAAAACGCACCGTAATCTAATAGTAGAAAATAAGGCATCATTTTGTTAACAATAATTACTGGGCTGTTGGTTGTCTCCACAATCTTATGGTAGAAAATGGTAGCCCTCGAATTGAATGTTTTTCCAGCTAAAGCAGGAAGCAACCTAGTTTAGTTTAGTTGGAAAAAGAGAGAGAGAGTGACATTCGTCTCATCTCCATAACAAGAACTTTATTCTTCTTTGTTTTACAACCTTGTTTATAAGATATCTCAGTTTTGAACAATCTAAAAGCTTTGCGTAGAAAGAGTTTTCTCTCATAATCAAAACAATCTGAGGCCTGATCAAGTCCCTAGTCCCAATTAAGTTCATGCAAACAGGCGGCAAGCCCAGAAACCACATGCATGCATAAACAAAGAATTGTTTGGTTTTTGTCGAGTTTCTTAGGTACTCTACTTGATTGTTTTAGCCGATTCAAAAGGAACCATCTTAACAACATAAATTATGCATTTTCTCTAAGCCTTTAAAAGAAGAAGAAGCACAAGCAACATCCATCTTAATCAGGCAAAATCTTACAATTCTTAGTTTAATCACTGCTCTGCAAGTTATAGACCTGCATGGACTGCTTGAGAGCAAGAAAGGGAATAGTATTAACTTAAGCATTTGTGCAGAAATTAAAAAAAAACACAAACTTCTAAAGACCTTGAAAGATCAATGAAAAGCAGTGAGGCCGGGGAACAAAACAACCCAGCGCTGAAATCCTATGGAGGACGACACACCCCTAAAACAAAAGAAAACACATAGCAATTATTACAGTTTCTGTTGACAGCAGCAATTCTAGACAAATACCGAGACCATATTTTGCTGGAAACAGAAGGGTCTGAATGAAACACCATGCAGAACAGATTCATACAATGCAAGAAACAAAATAAAACATTAAGTAGAATAATTAAGACTTCAACCAAGAAGCAGAGACACAAGCACCGGCACATAAACCCTGGGAAAAAAGCACACAGAACGCATAAGAAAGGAAATAATCTTACAGCCCAGTATTTCTACAAATAAAAAATAAAAACACAAACACTTAATTAAAAAATAAGACTGAAATGTTCATGCACACGTACGCAATAGCTAGCGATGTCAACCAGCTGACGAGTTAATTTGACGCCTATGTTAGTATTTATTTGACATAATTGCACAGGGATACTTCATTATAAGGATTCCTAAATTTCACACTCAAATAGAAAAAAATCAAGTAAAAAAATCTGAAAAGTTTGCATGCCAAATATGCTGTAGCCTCTCGATTCATCCACTAATTAAGATGAGGAAAATAATTAAAAAAATAGAAAAAAATTTTGTTTTAAATATTTAATAAAGAGAAATGCTAATGATTGTTGCTTTTGATTAATTCTGTCAACACACCGTCTATTTAACAAGACACGTTATGTATAAATAAGAAACAAGCAACTTGTCGGCCATTAACTACTAAATCCATATTCTCCTTTGTACATAAAACTTCATCTGTAATGTGATTTATATTCTCCAACATATCACTTTTAAATAAAGATATGAAAATGATACAGTTCAATAATGTTTTTCTTGTAGAAGAGATTAATATAAGTAAATATATATATATATATATATATATATATGTCCGGATCCCACGAATCCTAAAGTTAACGATTATGTAAATCTCTATGACTATCATATTAGCAACCAGAGAGCTCGAACTTGAAACCACAAAGAGAGCAAATCTCTTGATCCCAAACTTTTACTACTAGGCCACCTGCTAAATAATTTAATACAAGTGTATATTTGAGGTTGCTAAGATGAGTGAATTTAAAGATACCCATCAAGAGAGTTTTGTTAAATAGATCTTCATACATGATTTAGTGCAACCACTTTATTTTTTATGAGGTATTTATATAAAACTTAAAATGTTAGATTGTATTAATTTAACATTAAAAATGTTGTGAAGTGAATCATCAATGAAAATGAAAAACCCATATGGTCTCCAAAGATTACTAATTTAGGATAGATGATTATGTTGTTTTAGAAAGCACATAGGTAACCAATATTAGAATTAGAAAAAAAAATAACCTATTTCGCCTAAGTGTTTTACTGTTTTAATTATTATGGACTTGTTGTTGTTATAAAACAATGTTGAGTTGAATGATGTCTTTTCTATCTCTTTAAAGAGCATCAAAAAAGGAAAGAGAAATGTGTTTAATTATAATTAAGATTATGATTAAAGTTTAAGATTTCTCATTTATTATTATGGTTACTAGAAAACCAGTGATCTACGAGAGTTTAGGTATAAGACTGATTATACGAAGGGAAGATGTATTGTCCCTAGTGTATCCTACTTGATGTAAACTATATTGTTGTTTGATTGTTTTTCTATGTCAAATTTCTATTTATTGGTTTTTTTCTAAGGTCTAAAACAAATCTTTTTTTATGAAAGAGTCTCTACCTTATTGATCAGTTACATCATAATCTCTAAATTCTAAATTTTAATTTCATGATTATTTATTTATATTTTTTGTTTTTATATTTTTAACATCTGAAGGTATATTCTACAGTGTATTTTTACACCCTCAAGTGTTAAAATCTACATTTAAACCCTAACACTTTAAATATAAAGTGAACAAAATGATTGGTGAAGGGTTTTTGATACTTTGATCAAACCCTAATGGATAATCATAAATTAGTTATGATATCCATTTTGCATTTTAAAATATGAGAAAGATGCAATTTTTTGTTTTTTATGAAAACATGCTTGAAAACTTTTTGGATTTAGTTGTACGCATGAAAATAAAACTTTTTTTTTATTTTTTTTAGAAATAGGAAATTAATTTAAAAATTTTCGAGATTTTTTTATTTTAATTTTTTTTTGTAATGACAATGATGTTAATTTATTATTGAATGACTAGGAAACATTTATTTTATTATTGTGATGTGAACTAGTGTTATTATGCTATGTGTGCAGCTGTGAATTTAAGTATTTGTAGAATGGATAGATAAGGAATACATGTACAATTTGGTACTAGATACTATTTTACACCAATAAAAATATTAACTAACTATACATTACATATAGGTACACCAAAGAAATGTGTCTATCGGTATATTTTAGTAACTATAGGAACTGTTTCCATTCTCTCTGTTACTGTTTATGGTGATCATTATATATGGGTATATCGACAGAATGTGTCGATTGATATATTCTAGTGACTATGAGAATTGTTTACTTCTCAGTGTGCTAATAATTAATGTTTTTTTAATTGTTCACTTTTTTCCCTAACAACATCACGGGTGAAATGAAAAGTCATTAATAATATTTGAAAAGTTTTCTAAAAATTTTCATATAAGTTAAAAATTCCCATTTGACTTTATAAACATAACCATCAACAAAAATATTAAAAACATCTATATTTAATAATCAGTCGGTAATTATGTTGGTAAAACTAAATTAAAAGACCAGAATTAGAATAAATAAAGCTTTATCTTTTTCTTTCTTCTTCTATCATAAAGTTGTTTCTTTATTTCTCTCTCTCTTTCCCCTTTTCATTTAAAATCAAGTGACACGACTAAAAGATTGATGTCTTCTCCCAAGTGCAGGAGTGTCGAAGTAATAAATAACCCGGCAAGACCGGGGTCGAACCA